AAAAAAAAAAAAGAATGAGTACATGACATAAAGAGTGAAAAACCCTAATTTAACACCTGGAACACACCAATATCTAAGGAAAAACTCATTGTGAAATTATTGTTTTTTATATTCTTTAACTTGTACATGCAAAGAATTTTGTGCATAAAGTATTAACTTTTTAAAAAACTATTTGTAAGGATTGTGTTTTTCCATTATTTCAGTTCTTAAAATTGTTTTGAAATTCTATGGTTAGGAGTCTGAAAGCTCTAACTTCCTGTTAACCATTGTCCATAACAAACACTGCAGCCCATCTACTCTTAGGCAACAGTATGCTTTCCAGGGGCCAATTTTATTAGTTCCAGAAGATTAAAAATATTATTACATAATAATAATATCAATAAACAACAAAACAAGTTTTAAAAAACAAAGTTGTTTCCATGAAAGTTAAGTGCTTTAGAAATATATAAAATCTTACCATAACCATAACTCAGAATTGGGATCAAAAATTCTAATCACATAAATAACAGGATCATGTTAATCTTCAGCTACAAACTGACAATAAATGTCTGACTATAAACCTATCTCTACCATATATAAGCTATAGGACCTTTCTGCTAATCACTTAACCCAGTTTGAAGATTCACTTTCTTCAAGTACTAAAGAATGATGACTGCAGTGTATAGCTACTCTCATCTGTTCTTACAGAATTCTAAAGAAGTCTGACGTACTACTACTGTTTAGGTGTACTACTACTTCTAGTCTGAGTCCTACTGGCAAAATCTCTAGAAGAATAAAACCATTAAAAAGGAAGCAGAAAATAAAACTAGCCGAATCCTGAAGACCATGGAGTCAAAACCATGTACTTTGTGTGTGTCTTGTGTCTGTGTGTGCATGTGCTGCTGGGGATTGAACCCAGGGCATTGTGCATGCGAGGCAAGCATTCTACCAATTGAGCTATATCCCCAGCCCACATCTTTTCTTTTAAAGTATGATACCTCATCTTGAAAGCCTTTAAAAAAAAAATCTAGCCTTGCTGTCTTTCTGAACATAGATTACATATCTCGCTTAAAAAAAAAATGTATACAAGGACATGCATACTTTCCTTGATGTTAGCATTGTACTTCCTTTATTTTAAGGAAAAGCTGACAGTTTCCCTTAGTTTCTGGAAGGGAGGGATCATGTCACAGTCATCCATTGATTTCTAGCATCAAGCAGGAGTTCAAGTTTTTTTTTGCATAAATGAAGTTATATTTCTATTCTTTTTCCTATCTATCTATCCATTGTGATACTGGGGACTGAACACAAGGGGGAGTCTATCACTCAGCCACATCCCCAGTCTTTTTTATTTTTTACTTTGAGACAGTACTAAGTTGCTGAGGCTGGTCTCGAACTTGTTATCCTCTTGCCTCAGCCTTCCAAGTATATGGGATTATAGGTGTGCACCATCATGCCCCACCTCTATTCCTTGTTAAATTCAAGGTAATCAGAAAAGTTATTACATGTATTCTTTTCCTGATATATAGGTGTACTAAGGAGGACAGCTTCATGACAGAAGTAAAATATTTCTCCCAAATGCTTAAGAAAAAAAATAAAGACCACTCTCCTATCAGAACGGTCTCCATGGCATGGGAGTTAGGGAAGACAAAGGAATGAATGCCTAACCATCAAATTAAAAATCAGGGGCTGGGGATGTGGCTCAAGAGGTAGTGCGCTCGCCTGGCATGCGTGCGGCCCGGGTTCGATCCTCAGCACCACATAACAAAGATGTTGTGTCCGCCGAGAACTAAAAAAAATAAATATTAAAAATTAAAAAAAAAAAAAAAAATAAAAATCAGTATAGTACATGCAATTATGACCATAGCAAGACTGACCTAAATATGAACATACAATGTTTGGGTTCCACTGCTTTTAGAGGCATCACCACTAGAATGTATCTAATTCCAACTTTCACAAACATTTAGTAAAGTCACCAAATGTAAAATAATTATAAATACTCAGAGTTATGTGTAAAATTTTAATAAATACTGAAGCACTTACCAAGATTTATCCAAATTCCACCTGGCTTGAGTATTTTCCATATGGTATCAATATAATCAATCACATTGTGAGCTGTGTCTATGAAGAAACAGGTGGCAATACAGTCCCAGGTGTCTAATAAAGAAAAATTAAATCACTGTATCTGTTATCTTGCTTTTTTTCCTTTTGTTAATCCTTCAACAAACTGACCAGCTAAAATATTTAACTGTAGTGCTACAAAAACTTTTTTTTTTTTTTTGCAGTACTGGGATGGAACCCAGAACCTTGTACATGTTAGACAGGAGCTTTACCAATGAGCTACATCCCCAGCCCGTTTTGATTATATTTTAAGATAGGGTCTCACTAAATTGCTGAGGCTGGTCTTGAACTTGTGATCCTGCTGCCTCAGCCTCTTGAGAAACTGGGATTATAAGTGTGTACTCCCACCTAGTCAGAAGCTGAATTCTTTTGATCACTACTATAATCAAGATAACCAAATAATCATTTATAGGGGATACTCTATAGTTCATAGATGTTTATCAATCTGAAAAAGTGATCAATTTGGAATTCATTCATAATAACATACATCACTAAAATCATTACCAAATAATATCTGTAAGTTTTATCATCTATTTACTCTCCCCCTCCTTCTTCTGAGGGCCTTGCACATGTTAGGCAAATACTATACCACTGAACTATACCCCAGCCTCCAGCCTTCATTTACAATATATTAAGACAATATAATAGTCATTTGAATTTTAGAATCTAATATGAACCTATGCTAATCACCAATTCTAGTAGGCTTTACAGAGACTACAGGCAAAATATTGTCATTTGAAAAAAATGAATGACATCAAATAATCTAACCACTACCAAATCACCAAGGAAATGAGGGGCCAAGGGCAAGTGGACACCCAGCAAAGAATACTATTTACCTCTTGAAGGCTGTGGCCTAGCACAATGATAGGGACCAGAATGACATGGTTGTATTTTACCAATGCTGGTGTAATGAACGTACCCAATCCCAGCAAGGATCACCTGCACTGTTATCTTAAACATTGGTCCAGAAAAAGGAACTCTTAGGAACTTATCATTCTTTCTTCCATTCCTATTTCTCCATTTGGGATGGCAATGTCTATTCTTTGTACCAAAGGCACATCCTATGCATCTTTTTCTTTTTAATAGAAATAAGTATCTTATACCGAGGCCTATTCCATATATTTTGGAAGCACAGAACTCGCTGCACATGTTCACAGCTAAAGAGGAATTCTGCTTCAGGTAAGACCCTCAAGTCTCACCCATGTCTGATTTAGATAATCTTTAGTATTAATGGTGGAACATGTGAAGACGTTGGGGACTGTTGGGATGGAATGAATGTGTGTCCCAAACAAGAGGACATGAATTCTGAGAAGCCAGGAGAAAGAATTCAATTATATTGTGTCCCTCCAAAATTTATATTTAAATGTTCAACATGATGGTATTTAGAGATGGGAACTTGGGGGGATAATTGGATTTGGATTCAGTCAAGAAAACAGGGTCCCGATGACCAGATGGGTGCCCTTATAAGAAGGAATATCAGCTCACTTGTGCACACACTGTTGCCCCCCCCCACTCCCTCTCCCTGATAATGTAAGGACACAGGGAGAAAAAAAACTATCTACAGGCTAGGAAGAAAGCCCTCACAAAAGAATCAAATAAGCCTGCACCTTTAACTTGGACTTCTTGGTTTCCATAACTGTGTGACAATAAATTTCTGTGTTTAACCACCCAGAAAAAGAAAGTGACTTATTTGCTTAAATGAGGCTTTCCATTATTTGAGTCCCTTTTTTGAGATCTTGCTGCTAAACATTTTTATAACAGTTCACATCTTCCAGTTCTCCCTTCCTAATGTCAGAGCACACAGGCTCAATCTCAGAGTTCGGGGAAAAAAAACCCAAAAATTTCTACATTGCTAAAAATGAATAAATAGATTAAAAATTTCTATGTTGTCCCTTGTTCTAAAAGCCTTCCCACCAATGGCTTCCTGTCTCTCTCACAGTACAACTCAAAGTCCTTGCAATGGCTTACAAGTCTACCTCACTAACCCTCTGCCCTCAAACCCCACACTGTGCTCAGTACTTAGTGACTCTCTCTACCCCCAACCCTCTCCTACTCCCTCTGCAACATTTTCCTCCAAATCTGCATGCATTGCTTATTCACTCATTTGAGGTCACATCTGAACATTTTTATTTTCTACTCTTAGGCCTTCCCATTTTTCTTCCTCACAATATTTATTTGTTCTTATTTATCTCTCCCTTCTAGTGTATGAATCTCCTGTGGACAGGAACTTTGTTTTGCTCACTGTTCTCTTCTGAATGCCTATAATATACCTGAGGTAAGTGCTCAACAAATATTTGTTGAAAGAAGAATCTCACTAACTGCTCGGCATTTTGCTTTTCTTCTTCCTTTTAGTCTTAATCCCTCTCTTCTCTTTCCCCATTACTATCTCTCTTTCTCTAATGCCTAATTCAAATGTCTTCAACCTGATTATAAAGGTCTTCCATATTCTGGAACAACCTACTTTTCCAGCCATATGTCTCACTAAATCTCTTTTCCTGCCAATCTAGCTATGTCATTGTCCCCGATGACCTCATTCACTCTTACCTTTGTATTTCTGCCTGCCTGAAGTGCTATTTCTCCTTATTCAAGTGTCGGCCTCTCTACAAAGAGCCTACATAAGCTTCTCACACTAGCTTACTTTCATCTTCACTACATTCAATACACATCTGAACTGTTTACATGTGGTCTTATATTAACAGACTCAATAAATTCTGAATTTCTCGGTTACAGATGTTTCTTTATATTTAGTATCATTGCCTTGTGCATGACCTGGAAAATAGTCCAAATTATCACTGAAGTATACTTTGTATTCTACCATCCAATGAATGACCAAAACATTGGCTCATTAAGTTTCAATAAAGCATAAGACCTTTAAAATACTTGCTTTGAACTTACTGCATTCTGAATAAATCTCCTGAAAATCTCCTGCTGTCATAGAAAAGTTAGAACCAGGAGGAAGACTGTGGGGGTCAACATCTGGGAAAAAGATGGGTCGTATCTGATCAGCTGATCTCCGGTTATTGCTAAACTGATGGATCCAGGGATAAAGTTTATATTTATTAATTTCAGAACATCTGTAAAATACGAACATAAAATTTAGTGTTAACATTTTACCAAAAATAAATCTACTTTAAATTATGATGTTTGAATGTAAATTTGCATTTATAATTCATTTGTGCCAACACTACCCCCCCAACTCATATAGGATAATATACATATAGATGAGCAACCAATCATGAATTAAAAGACAGAAAAAAAATTAAATTCAGAGATATAAATATGCTATTCATTCAAACTTATAAAAATATATTTTTAAACTTCAAAACCAAGTAAAATCAGTCCAACTAATTTTTAAGAAACAGTATTGGCTTCAACTAAAATAGTCTGCTATTAATTTTTATTATTTTATACAACCCTCTTCAAAATTTTCCCTTTATCACCAACCCCCTAAAACTCATACTGCCAGAGACAATATTATTTAAATAAGGCAGCTATTTGTTTTCCTCTAACACATACCTTCTGACTTTAGAAATAACAACTCTTTTCTACTACCTTCTAACAGAGGCCAGAGAAGTTCTCAGGGATTTTTCCAACTCAGTCATGTAAGTGTGCCTGGCCATTTTATAATAACTCAAGGAAAACATAATCACAATTGCTTCACTAAATTCTTATTCCACTAAAGGAAACAAAAGGTTGAAGAAGTTTAAGAAATGATGAGAAAATACTCCTTCCTTTGTTGTAGGACTTCAAAGATTCTGTACAGAAATCATTTCAGTTTCATGGAAGACCCACTTTTTAAAAAGTAACTTACTCATCTTGTGTCAACATTCTGTTAATTAGGCAATAAAGTGGTAATCTGTATAAGCATTTTGAATTTAACACAAACACTGATGATCTACATTATAAATACAATGTATTTTTCTTAAAAAAAAAAAAAAAGGTAAGTCAATCTGATTCTGAGAAATTACTATTTCCAGCAAAAAATAAATTAAATACCTGTTCAGAACAAAGTTGGAAGAAAAGAGCATAAAAAAACTCCATTCATTTCCTTGACAAGCATAACCTAGCATAGCTATTTCCCAGGCCAGTCTTCCTAGTCCAGCACCAGGTACCAGAATATTTACTTTAGAAGGATCCCTGAAATGAAATAAGGCAATTATGTCCAACCCCTCAAAGGAAAAAAAACTTAAAAAGAAAGACAAAATCCATATTAACAACTAAAAACTTACTCAATTGTTCAATAAGAATAAGCTTGTTTCTTAAAATTGAAAGAATAAAAAAGAATAATCTGATTTCTTAAAATTGAGAGATACTTGTGAATTTAAAAAAAAAAAAAAGCTTAAGGACTTATCAAAGGTGTTCAGATATCAGACAAGAGTTTTATTCCCTAAAATTTATCTTTCAGAAAAAAAGGAGTCACTTTATAACTGAAGATCTATAAAGGTACTCATATTTCTAAAAGCTGTTACCTGAAAATTAACTTATTCCTATGATGAATTTAAACAAAATTATTCCATCAAGAGATAATAAAACAAAACAACTTTATGCTGAATTCTATATGTAACACAATGATTTGTAAAATCAAACAGATTAAATATGGGTCAGGTATATCTCTAACACCATATAGATTTCAGATAGAAAAACTTTCATGGGGAAAATGGGAAACTGCCTTGTAATTGAGCATATATGGCAGCAAATATATATAACACCAAAACACAGGTTCACAACTGAACTTATCTCTATTTGCTAGCACCACACTGCTATCATACATTTTCTTTGTTGTAAGTTCTAATCCTCCCACTTTGAAACTGCCAAAAGCCTTAGCAAAACTAGGTCTTTTCTTAGGAATTCTGGCAAATCAACATAATCCTGAGAAAAGCAAAATGTATTTCTATAAGAAACTAAAGAAAAATATATACAATCAGCTGGCATCGTGTCAAAAAGGAATCTCAAAAAAAAAAAAGAAAAAACAACATTCAGAATAATTTTCTTTTTTTAAAAAAAAGGAATTTCACAATTGTATACATAAATTTGGGTAACAAATCAAATGAAGTTCCCAAACCTACTCCTATTTACAATTCCATCATTCAACCACATGGACTTAAAGTCTGGCATGCTCAATCAGAACAACAACATTTTATTAGTAGTCCATATGAGAATTTTAGCATATCCTACTTTAAAATGAACAAGTAGGGGCTCGGAGTTGTAGCTCAGTGGTAAAGTCTTACTTGCCTAGAATGTGTGTGTGAGGCACTGGTTTGAGCCTCAGCAGCACATAAAAATAGAGTTATTATGTCCATCTAAAATTAGAAATAAATAAACTAAATTTTAAAAAATTTAAATGAATATACAGCTCTTCGGGACTTTTGCAGACATAGTATCCTGGTAATTTGCCTAAGGTGATTCAGTCCTACATAACTAAACATGGACATGTGTCTGTATGAACACCTTAATAAAGTCTGCTTGTTTCACTTAATTATATAGAAAAACAATAAAAGGAAGTTTGTTAAAAATGGGTGACAAATAGACCTATTATAATAGTAAGGTATGTTTAGGAGTTATCTAGGTGAACGAACTCCAAGTAGTTAACAGTATTCACTAAGATAAAATAAAATGGAACACTTTCTTCTTGTTCTAGATTATACACTGTGTGCTTGTGTGTTTATCTATACTATAATTTTAATGAAGAGGATGGACCTATCCTTTCACTTTGTTCAGGTCTACCTATATCAGTCATTTAATGAGAATATGCATATTTTTAATACTATACTTGAAAACTCCTAGTTCTAAGACCAGTGCTCTTCCTTGTATAAGAATCTGCACAAAAACAGTCTACCTGGGCCTGAATCTCACTTTCTTCTCTCTACCAGACAGACCAACAACCTCGCTCTCCAGAATTACCCCCTTTTTTCAGTTTCCACTGCTCAATCAAAATTTGCATTTCTACCTGAATGCAATTCTCAAGAGTTTAAAAAAAATATATATCAAGGTAATATAGCAGGGCAACAGGAAATTATAGGATTTGGAAATAAATTCAGTCTTTATTTTTAAAAAATCACTGGTAATCAATTTCTGCATAGCTGATGAGTAAGTAAAAATATTAGAAATTAACTTTAAGGAAAAGTTGTATTTTAATAATTTATGGAAACTTTATGACTACTATTTTCAAATTTTCCCTAAACAGAACCAAAGAACTCTCTACCTCTACCTTGTGGGAGAAAATATATTCATATGACTCTGCTAAAAGACTATCATCGAGCCACTGAACAAAAAACATATCAAGGTTCTACCTTAAGAATTAGCAGAGACTATTACAAAGCTACATATTTTATGACAAAAGAACTTCAGTGGGCACATATGAGAAGAAACATTAAAACAAACCATCTATAGAAGGGAAAAAAAGAGATCAAAAACTAGCAAAGAATGGGTGAAGATGAAGAGAATTTCCCCCTAAACCTGTTCAATAGCTAGAATTCTTCCAGTGGTTCTTTACATAATGGACATTAACACCATATTGGAAAGTTACTCTAATTATAATATATATAAAACTAAATACTTGAATGGTTATAAATCATTAAGGCATCTAGGGTATTTCTATAAAGGTATTTCTGTGGAGCATAAGAGATAAACAAATTTAATTATAGACTTTAATGATGAGATGATTTTAAACCAACCTGAAACAACTTTAAAAAACCAGGAAGAGTGCCTGGTGTGGTAGTGCACACCTGTAATCCCAGCAACTCAGGAGGTCAAGGCAGGAGGATCTCAAATACGAGGGCAGCCTCAACAATCTAGCAAGGCTCTGTCTCAAAATATAAAATTAAAAGGACTAGGGATGTAGCTTAATGGTAAAACACCCTAGGTTCGATTCCCTGTATCAAAAATAACAATACAGAGAATAGGAATATTATAGTATATAGCTCAGTAATTAAATGTAGCCTGTGTGAGATTATTAGCAAAAAGGAAACACGTCCACCAAGTTAATAAGATATAACTATGGTAAAGCAGTATATTTACTACAGATGTGAATTCTCAAATATATAGGGTGTAAGTGGAGTAAGTTTCAGGAATTATTCAAGACCAGAATGGATAAGAAAAGGAACATGTAAGGGCACACAGACAATCATGTCTAAAGAAGCCATGAACTATTTGCTATATTTGGGCTCCAACTATTTTACTAACAATTTTTTGTTGTTGTTGTTGGGGGCAGCAGGGGTTCTGGGGACTGAATCCATGGGTGCTTTATTAAAGTAGCTTCACTCCCAGCCTTTTAAATTTTTTTTCTTCTGAGATGGCACCTTGCTAAATTGTATAGGCTGGCCATGAACTTGCTATCATCCTAACTCAGCCTTCCAAATAGCTGCAAATTACAAGTATGAGCTACCAGGCCCCACTAAATGTTGTTCTTGATAGAGGTTTACTTTATTATATACACAATGTTCTTTGCTTTTAGGTAAATTAGAAAAGTCCCCAACACTATATCATATTCTTTTATCAACATGGTGACACTTGGCTGGCCCCTAGTGGTAGGAATACATATAAGTTTGAAGTACCAAAAGTGGTTCTACCAATCACAGCTACCAATACAGTAAAAGGCACTAACCACATGTGCTATTAAAATGGATAAACTGATATGTTGTAAATTGAAAATAAATGGATTTTGCCAGGCACAGTGGCACATGCTTATGATCCCAATGATTCAGGGGGCTGAAGCAGATGGACAGCAAGCTCAAGGCCAGCCTCAGCAACTTAGCCAGAATTTGTCTCAAAAAAAAAAAAAAAAATTAGAAAGGGCTTCGAGCATAGCTCAGTGGTAAAGCACCCCAGGTTCAATCTCTAGTGCCTTAAAAAAATTAAAAATTAAAAAAAAATTTCAAAGACTTGATAGAGAAAAGAAATGAAAAATGTATCAGCAATCTTTTTGATGACAGGTTAATAATGCTTTGGATATACTGGGTTATTAAAGCATATTGTGAATATTTCTATTTTACCTTTTCATGTGGCTACTAGAAAATGATAACTACATATCTGCCTTGCATTTGTGGATTGCACTGTTTCTACTGAAAACAGTACTCATCAGATATATCATAAAAACATTACACTGAGCAGGGTCTGGCCATACATGGTCAGTGATACATAGTCAGTGATAGAGCATATGGCTGATCAAGACCCTGGGCTCAATCCCAGACAACAGAACAACAATAAAAACAACACAAACACACTGTGTAAAAACCAATTGTGAAATGGTACTACAAAATATTAGATAAAACTTGAAAACATACAGAAACGGGTTTTTGTAGGCTTTTGTTTTGAGATAGGATCTCACTATGTTACTCAACCCTCAAACTCTTGGACTCAAGTGATCTTCTACCTTGGTCTCCCAAATACCTGGGCCTATTGGCATAAAACACTGTACCTGAAACCTACAAGGTGTTTTTTTCTTTTCCTTTTGGCAGTGCTGGGGAACACAGGACCTCAGGTATGTTTCGTAAGAGCTCTACCACTGAGCTACATTCCCAATCCAGGCCCGAAGATGTGTTCTTTGGGAGCATATAAACATTAAGTTAGCATAGTAACTCAAGGTTCAAATAACAAAGCAAATACATGTTAGTAGTTATCTCAAAAGACAGGGAATGCTCTGAATGGGTGTGCAGGGCAGTTTCAACTTTACCTGTAAGGTTTCTTTGAAAAATAAAAATAAATTTGAAGTAAATATGGTAACATGTCAAGGTTTAATAGACATTATTATGCATCATTAAAAATGGGTTAAAATTAGTAGTATCTATTGCTTTCAAAAATACTGCCAACTGACCTTTTCTTCCACTCCCAATTCCCAAAGAACTTATTTGAGCCAGACAAGTTTTTGCTGATCTCAGAAAATACTTATGAATCTTACCCTTTAGCATGCCTACAAACCACAAAAACTCATTTAAAATTATTAGCTTAATCAGCATAAATGATCACCTCAATCAACTATGGTTCCCAAATATCCGGGACAAACTTTGAAATCACTTTATGCTGTCAGCACTTCAGTCACACACCAGTTAATAATCTCCAGAGACCATACTGCCTGCAGAGTCTAAAATATATACTAACTGGCATGTCAAGAAAAAGCTTGAAAGATAGAATGCATCTTGAATCTCTTTCTCTAGCAGTACACAAATCTTTCTAAATTCACTTCACAGTGATGGTACTAAAATTTATCAAAATCTCAATTAAAGACATTTAGATTATTTCTAATATTTTGCTATTATGTTAAAACTAATAACTTTGGCATGAATAATTACACATAGAGAAGCATATCTGTAGAATAGCTTCCCTGAAAGTGAACTGCTAGAATCAAAAGATAAGCATTTGCATTTCAAGAAGTATTGCCAAAGTGTCCTCCACAAAGATTTCCAATTATTTTTTCCACCAGCATAATTTCCCCACGTTGGGGCTGGGGTTCTGGCTCAGCGATAGAGCTCTCACCTAGCATGTGCAAGGCCCTGGGTTCGATCCTCAGTACTACATAAAAATAAATAAACAAACGTAATTTCCCCACATCTTTATTCATAGTTTTCTAACTTTTAAATCTTTGCAATGTAGTAAGTGAAAAATACTATCTTAATGTAGTTTTTACATTTGCATTTTCTTGTAAGATTGAGCATCTTATATTTATTTCTATGAACTGTCTATTTACATCACCTTTTTTATACTGGGTGATTAATCTTGAATGGTTTCTACTGGGTTATTATTCTCAATTTATGAACACTTGAAATTTTTACTTGAAATAATTTTTATTTAAAAAAACATAGCTATCTTCATATAAATGCTTTCAGGAGAAGGGAGTAATCTATTTTCAGCCTTTAAACTACTAATATATTATTTGACAATCTACACTTCTTCTATTTTCTCTTTTATAATGGGTTCCTTTAGCTAACAGACTTTTTTCTTGACTTATAATTTATTTATCTTAATCTAAGCGGAAAGAAATGCTTCTTTTAAAGTTAGAATATTTTTTCCTAATGCTCAACTATGTAAGAGGGGAAAAAAATTCAACTACTCAACAGTACATACTTGTATTTCTTGAAGTACAAGGAAATGCCAAGACATCACAGATTTTCCCCCCAAACAAAATATCACTCCAAATTCTTCTAAAATAGAGCCAATAAAATTAAGATATTAAAAAATACCATCTAGCCAGGCATGGTAGCACATGCCTGTAATTCCAGCAAGAGGCTAAGGCAGGAGGATCACAAGTTCAAAGCCAGCCTCAAAAACTCAGTAAGACTCTGTCTCTAAATAAAATACAAAATAGGGCTGGGGACATGGCTCAGTGGTCAAGTGCCCCGAGTTCAATTCCAGATACAAAAAAAAAAAGTGGCTTTCAGGACTCATAAGAAAATATGGTTCTACATGATGTGATTTCTCCTTTCAGACAGGCCCAAAACATAATCATCTGTCTTTCCTTAGCAACTATACGCTTTATAGCACTAAATCTTACATTTAGAATAGACACTTTGAAAAATTATAATTTTTAACACATATGCTCTATTAAATGATGAGTTATATTGTACATATGTTCATATTTGAGGAGTTTTAAATACTGAACTCATACTTTTAATTAAGAAAATATATACTACCTGCTCATTTCAATGAGCAGAATTTTTTATAGCAAAGTCCCCCCAAGAAACAAACAAGAGCCTGGTGCAGTAGTGTGTGCCTATAATCCCCAATGACTCAGAAGGCCGAGGAAGGCAAGTTTGAGATGAGCCTCAGCAACTTAGCAATACCTTGTCTCAAAACAACAACAAAAAAGTTGGGGGTGTAGCTCAGTGATAAAGCACCCCTGGATTCAACTCCTAGTACCATTAAAAAAAACCCAAAAAAACAGAGGCTACCAATTACTAACACATTTGGCAGTCAGCACACTTTACACATCATTTGCTTATTGAGTAATAGATCCCACACAGCAGTCAATGCATCTTCAAAGTAGTTTGTGCATATAAACTCAAAGTCTTAAACATGGACAAGGTAGACAAACTAATATAACAAACATGTTTACATCAGAAAAATACTTTAATGGTCACAAATATACTTAGTTCTAAGCATATTTCAGTTGGTATGCTTTTACAGAGAGTTCAGTTAAAAAAGATCTTTACTGAAATTTCAAAAAGAAGATAGTCAAAATTTAGGTGACATAAATTTGAGTCAAATTCTGCTTGAATATAAAGACATCAAATTCCAGGGCTGGGAATAGTTCAATCGGTAGAGTTCTTGCCTCAAATGCTGGGTTCAATCCCCAGCATCACAAAATAAATAAATAAAGACATTAATTCCCATTTGTTATCTGCAGCACAAACAGGATCCTGGAAATTTATCTGAGACCCAAAGTTTATCAGGACTTATCTAAGCAACCTGGATTCTGAAGGGCTATAATTAATATCCCCCTTTCAAGTCCTGAGGTTGACTTTTTATCACAAAGCTGTGACTTTAATTAATGCACGTAGTCTTTACTGTGTTTCATTAGCTTTCTTCTCAGAAATTCTTGATAGTTCAACTACTATAAGGAAATCAATCTAAATTAAACAAGTAAAACAAACAACACAGGAAGAAATATATAATTTTTCCATTTGGGAAAAAATGGCAATTTTTTTTACTCCAGTGAACTTCATTTAAAATTTATATATTCCATCTCTACTTTTGTAACAGTAATTACTTTCTGAAATGGAACTGAGTGGTTAGGGCACAGTTCTAGGAAGAAGATCTTACATCCCTTGAAACCTTTCAAATTTTGCACTCTGAAATGTTTTGTCTATCCAAAATATATTTTCTTCTTTTACTGTTAAAATAACACATTAGAACAAACTAGAGTTAATTCTTTCTTTTCACCAGTTTACATTCTGTCAATACTAATAGCACAAAAATCACAGTAAAACAGTACCATATACTAGTTCACTCTCTTTAGCAATGACAAATCATTTTAGACACACTGACATCATTGGGTTGACTAGATATCATAACATACACACTATTCAGTGGTCAGTGAGAATAAGGAAATTTAGTTTTAAATGCTAGAAATAATGTTGACATAAGCATTCTACCTTTAGTCTTCGAAATTCAAACTCTGGTACACACCTATTGCAAAGATCCTTACCTTACAACCCACTTTCAGAAACAAAGGTATTCTGGGTTTCAGGATTTATTTTCACAGATGCTAAATAACTAATTTCTATTACTTAGTTGAGCAGAGTACTGCATATATGTATTCAGAGAAAACATGAATTAGAAACTTTAAGATATTTTGATCAATAATGCTCATAAAAGTCCATAAAATTTTAGCATGTATTAGAATTTATTAAATAAGACTAGCATTTAAAAATTTGTTACTTTTAGTTATTGCGAGTTAAGCTATGATTTTTCAAAACCATTCTTACTAAGGAAGGCTTCCTAAGGAGAAGAATTAAAAACAGATTGTTGTCAACATAATATTCCATAGATAAAAAGACAAAGATCACTTCTAACAAACAGAAGTCCTGGACCAGATGGTCTCAGGTGAATTCTGCCCAAATCTACAGAGGAATCAACACCAGCTCTTCTCAATCTCAAACTGAAGCGGACAAACATGCTCTAACTTAAGTCCATGAGGCCACCAAAGTCAGATAAAGACATGACAGCACTAAGAAAAGGTGTCCTTCAACAGATGAATGGATGAAGAAAATGTGGAATATATACACAATGGACTATAACTTAGCCTTAAAGAAGGATGAAATTATGGCATTTGCTGGTAGATGGAAGAAGCTGGAGAATATCATACTAAGCAAAATAAACCAATCACAAAGAATCAAAGGATGAATGTTTTTTCTGATATGTGGATGCTAATTCACAATGGGGGAGGGAAGCCTAGAAAAGAATACAGGTACTTTGGATTAGACAGAAGGGAGTGATGGGAGGAGACAGGGTAAGGGAGTAGAAAGGATAATAGAATGAATCAGACATTTTTACTCTATGTGCATGTATGATTATGTAATCAGTATAATTCTACAAAATGTAGAACCAGAAGAATGAGAAGTTATACTCCACTTATGTAAGATATGTCAAAATGCATTATACTGTCATGTATAACTAATTAGAATAAGGAAAAAAATAACAAACAGAACTCAAAATCTTGAAAAATAAAAAGAAATGAAAATTACAGGTCAGTATATCTTATGAATATAAATGTAAAATTCCTAAACAAAATATTAGCAAATCAAATCCAATGAATTAAAAGAATTATTTACCATAACTAATGGGACTTACTCCAGGAATGAAAGGTTAGAATTTAACATAAGAAAATCATTTAATGTAATATATCACTAACAAAATGAATAGGTTTGCGGTTGTCTCAATAGAATAAAAAAAGGCATTTGAGGGCTGGGGATGTGGCTCAAGCGGTAGCGCGCTCGCCTGGCATGCGTGCGGCCTGGGTTCGATCCTCAGCACCACATACCAACAAAGATGTTGTGTCCGCCGAGAACTAAAAATAAATAAATAAATATTTTTTAAAAAAAGGGCATTTGACAATATTCATCATCATTTCATGAGAAAAACCTTCAGAAACTAGAAAGGGGAAAAATTACTCAACATGATAAAAGGTATTTATGAAAACCCCACTGCTAATATCATATTCAATGTGAAAGACTGAAAGCTTTCCCAAGAACAGAAACAAAACAAGGAAATAAAAGGCATTCAAATTGGGAAGGAAAAGGGAAAACTATCACTTTTAACATGATTTTACATATGGAAAAGGTAAACTATCACTTTTAACATATGATTTTACATATGGAAATCCTAAGGAATCTACAACAAAGCTGAAATCCCAGCAGTTTGGGAAGCTGAGACAAGAGGATCTCAGATTCGAAGCCAACCTCAGCAACTTAGTGAAAGTTCTAAGCATTTAATAAAAAATAAAAAGGACTAGTAATATGGCTCAGTGGTTAAGCACCCTTGGGTTCAATCCCTGGTACCAAAAAATTAATTAATTAAACAAGGTTGTCGGGTACAAGATAGAACAATCAGTTATATTTCTATTTACTACCAAAGAAAATTCTGAAAAGGAAATTAATAAACCAATTTCATTTATGGTAGCATCTAAGCCATTTAAATATCATGAGTAATGTAACCAAGGTGAAAGACTTAAACACTAAAAATTACAAAACACTGTTGAAAGAAATTAAAGATAAATAAATAAAAAGACATCCATCCTGTGTTCACAGGAAGATCTGACTTCATTAACAAAAAATGCGAACTACCCAAAGCCATGTACTTATTCAACACAACCCCTATTAATAATCCAACAGCCTTTCCTGCAGAAATTGGAAAAGCCTAGACTGATAACAACAAAAAATTAGATTAAACTGGACTTCATCAAAATTAGAAACTTGTGTGCATAAAAGGATACTATCAAGAAAGTGAAGACAATCTACAGAATGGGAGAAAATATTTGCAAACCATGTATATAAGTAATGCATGCAAAAAAAAAAGGGAGGAGGGGAGGATCCTACAATCTCATCTATAACAAATTATATTCAATCCAGACACAGAAAAAGAGCATAAAAAGTATTAGACACTATATAGAGAAACAGGAACTTCAGGCATCCTATACCTTTTACAAAAATTTTGAGCAGAAAATGCATAAACCTCTAAGCCCTAAAGATGAAAGTAAAAGTTTGTCAAATGAGTATTATACATTGTCAAGTATTTCTAGTAGTTCAAGTATTTGAAATTTGTCCAGCTTTGTAGCCTATGAATAAAACTAATTTCTAGAAAACATTATCTCTAAAATCTTTCTTTTAAATTCTGCAGGACATAAAATTTTTAAAAGGAAGTAAACTATTAACCATACTACTTCTGAATCCTACACATCAGATATGTGAACGTACAGAAGCAAGAAGTTTTTTAAAAGTCTGGTAAATGGTTAGAATAATTATAAATTCAACTATCCTTCCAACTGTGCTTGCTTACTGAGCTGTTTCTAGATTTCACACCACTAACACGAACAAATTCGAAAAAAATATAAAATCAGAAATCAAGTATTGCCAGAACTGTCAACAACAATTAAATAAAATGACAGCTTTGAGTGATATATGAACCATGAGTATACAATGAATGACCATTACCATTTTACTTTCTGTTCAGAAAGCAATTATAGCACAGCATGTCAAAAAATTATTGGCCACAAGTAGATATACAGTGAGTGATTGTCATGATATTTATTCAGCTGAAAACAATCTACAG